TGTAAGTCGGGGACTACCAGTATATACATGTTTTAGGTCATATTTATGCAGAAATATTGAAAATTCAAAAAAGTTCTCAAACTTTTAAGCATCATTGTAAATGTTCAGGATTTTATTTTCTTTCTTTGAACATTATTGGGTAAACCTTTGCAAATGTTCTACATATCATAACCATCTTAAATTTATTTCTGTGTGATTTAGCCTCAGAAAATAAGAACAGAATGCATAAAAGAAAAGGGTGAGAAGGGTTATGCAGACATTACAAAACAGCTTTAATGTTACATTTGTTCTTACACAATCTGGAAAGGTAGAGTACATCCAACGAGAAAAGGAATTCCTCTAATGTGATTTTTGTCAGCATAATTTAAAATTTGCACGCTTTCTATAACTGTATTACAGTGCGACAGGGTTCCTTTTAAAAGTGGGGATGCATTTCTTTGCCAGGGTGATAATGGACAAAGAAATACCAACAGTGGATGCTTTTTACCCTAATATACAATTATTTTCAGCAGGGATTTATAAGAGGCTAAACAACAGAGTGCTGGTGTTGAATTTCCTCCCAGATCTGCCAGCAGTGACCTTTCCCCCCTCCCTTTCCTTTCCTCCTCCTTTTTCTTCATCTTCATTTTCATCTTCTGACAAAAATGAGAAAAGAAAGGAATGGGCTGGGATTACTGGAATGTGCTCAGTATTGCTTGACCTTTTGCCACTTCAGCCAAAATACCATCTGCTTCTGCATGGGGGCAGGGGTCTTCTGCCCACTTTTCCCCCCAAAACCAGAGCTTTTCTACCAACAACCAATCCTCTCCATCCCCTCAAAGGCTTGGAGTGAATCTGGCACGTGCAACTAGTTGGATCTCCCAATAAAGGAGAATATTTGTAATTCAGGATTGAAATGAGGGGTCCTTAGTGTTCTCTGAATTTGGTTGTTTTCTTGCAGATGTTTCATTATCTCAACTAGGTAACATCATCAGTGCTAGTGCTAGTCCTAGTTTGGGTAATAATTGGATATCTCTTAGCTCTTCAATATCTTGGGTCTTGGGTGGAGCTCTCATCCCTCTGGACTTCTAGGGAAGCCATCCTGGACTGTTCTTCTCTGCCAAGGAACAAACACTTGCCCTCTACCCTTCATTCTCCAACTTCTGTCCAACCTTTTCTCTCTGCCTTCTCCTGTCTGTCTGTCTGCCTGCCTGCCTATCTATCTATCTATCTATCTATCTATCTATCTATCTATCTATCTATCTATCTATCTATCTATCTATCTATCTACAGTTGTTGTGTTTCATTCTGATTGTGTTTCTTTTGAATTTGAAAACTTCTGAATAATCTGTTTTTAATTCATTTAGCATTAAGAAAAAGCTGTTGATATTATTTAGCATTAAGAACGCTAGGAAGCTGGTAATTATCAGCTAGCAGACATGAGCAGCAGAAGATGATGAAAGGGCAATTGTAATATTCTTTATTTGTTGAGCAACTGTCTTCAGTTCTAATCCTAAAACTATTGAGAGGGGAGCAGACAGGAATTTGAAGTGATGGCACATGTTTCTGGTCAAGGGCAGAATATCTGAATTAATTAAAATATAATGGCAAACTGAGGCTGGAATGGTATTTTTAATTTAAACTACATGTTAAGTTCTATTTATTTAGCAACTGTGCAATGGTACAGAAAACAAAAGTTGTTTTTAGTTGGATATCTCCTAAAGGCTATAACACACTTATATAATTTTAAAAGATCCAAGAACTAGCATGAAAAATAGCACATTAATTATAAAATGGAACTACCCATCACTGCATTTCTAGGAACAAAGCAAATCATTCACTTTGACCATTTCATTGGCAGGACTGATGCTACCTAGCATCTTTTGGGCTGGAATAGAGATACAGGATTATAGCAGGAATACCCAAACATTTTCTTACCAAGGCAGTTCTCAGATATTTAATGAAGTAATATGGCCAGTATAAAAATCTGTAACTCAATTGTAAATTAAAATTAATATGTTAATGAAATTATATAAACATAGAGTAATAATATTCCCTTTGTATCACATTAAAAAATTACAGTTTGGTGGCAGCCATTGGAGGGGCTTCAAAAACCACATTCAGATTTTGGGGTCTCTGGGGGCTGTAAAATGCACCCCTGTCATGTGGCAAGAGATTGTGAGTCACAGCATCAATAACTGCTGCTCTGTTCAGATCATAAGATAATCAAATCAGAATTGGAATCCCTTTATATGTGTTATAAGGGTTATATGTGAATATATAGGTTATATGTGAAATGTAGAAGATTTTTCAAGAACTTAAGAGAAAGTTTTAAAGCAGCTTAATTTTTATCAAATTAATTCCAAAGTGGGTACAATAAAACAAAACTTTAAAATTATAATGATTTAAACAATAAAAAATATAAAATAATAGCAAGATATAGCAGCGTAGAATTAGAGAAAGGCCTTGAATTCAGGGGTAGGCAACCTTGGCTCTTTTATGACTCATGGACTTCAACTCCCAGAAGTCCTGAGCCAGCCATGCTTGCACAGGAATTCTGGGAGTTGAAGTCCACGAGTTAAGAGCAAGGCTCTACCCTGGCCTTGATGAACAGAGATGCTTAGTTAATGCCAAAAGTTATAAAGATTCAGTGCTTATTGCAACTGGATAGGAAGGGTTTCAAAAGTATCCTCTCAGATTGCTAAATGCCAAGGCGTAACTAGTGTACCACATCCAAAGGAAGGCCCTGCTGTACTTTAATTGCTGGGCAGGTATAAAAATGATAAAGTGACTAGATATCCTAGTTATATAAGGCTTTATATATCAGTATAAGCATTTTGGCCTAGACTCGAGGCTGCTGTATACTGAAAGAAAAACTCCCAGACCAGAAGTGTGGGTAGACTCATATATTTGTCAGACACAAAAAGTGAAATGAACATGAACTCTATCATGACCTCTGGTTGGTATTGATGATGCTAGGCAAACTGAAATATGCAACTGCAATGCTTTTATGGTGCATGATGCACAAAAGTAAAGTCTGTGTTTCTTCGCTTTACTGCTGATCTTGATGCCACATCAGCACATGTATTGGGAAATCTTGAAAAAAAAATGAAACAACATGGCAAAAATGTTGTGGCAAAAATGAGAGTACAAAGGCCAAGATCCTCTACAAAATGGCCTGCACAACTATGTTAAATTCTATTACACTTTAATTACCTGCAATTACTACTCATTTCTGCAGTATTTGGGTCCTTATAATTATTTTTTTAAATCTATTTATCCTTTTCTTTAAAGAAAAACATATTCTGGGGGTCTGGACTTGTTTTGTTCTTGCATATATGCTGCATTTCAATGAACAATTCCTGCTTGAATTTGATTAGACTTCTGCTGTGAATATATATAAAGTCATTTTTTCAGTATCCACATATTTTCCAACATTAGTCTCCCAATCCTGTGTTGAAGGCAAAGTTTCCCTTATCTGGTGTTGTGCCTCATTGATTCTTATCACTGTTTGAATATACTTTAATAAATTCTGGTGCTTTTAATTTAGTCCTCTGGAATCATATCTAATAAATATATTACATATTAAATATATTAATTCAAATTTTATTTTCAGAATTTTTTGGATGGAGTTTCCCTTTTCAGCATTTTTAATCTATAGAACACTTGCATCAATTTTTCCTCAAATTGCAGCTTGGTGTACATTTTATTGATTTATTGTTTTGCGTATTACATAGCATTTTGATCCTAATTTGTCGTATGTATCCTTTTCATTATTTGACTGACTCAATAAAAAAGATGAACTACTTACGCTTTTATTAAGTTTATTAAATTTCAAAATCAGAGTCCTCTTGTGGATATTTGAGGAGAGGCTTAGTATCAAACCCAGGTCAAACGAACAACCTATATGCTGCAGATGCTATGAAAATGATTTGTACTTTTTTAGCCGACCAGCATGGGTAGAAGTAGGCACATACACATTGAGATTGGCCTGATTAATATAGGGAACACTATAGGCTGTAGGTCTGCCTCAAAAAGTTACTTTAAAATATTTAAAATAATTTAATATTAAATATTAAGATTTTAATTGCTTTAACTAAATTATAAATCAAATTATTGAATTTAATTAATTAATTAATTTAATTAACACAAATGGTATATTCTTGATTTATAAACTGAATTCTTTCAGAAGAATTTAATTCTGACCCTAAAATTGAGAAAGCAGGAACCTGGCATGGTGAGCTGGTTAATAAGAAAAGTCTGAACTGTGGAATTCTTGTGGTTAAGAAAAGAACATCTGGTGTTTATGAATAATGCCTTGCATACATTGCTAAATAATGTAAAGCTGTATTAGCTAATAAGATGGCATGTTTTGTCAAACTAATGTCAGGATACAGTGACGTATTTAATTTATTACTGCTTTTTTAGAACTTTGCAAAAATGTAAAAAGGAAGATCTATGTTGCGTAAAAACTTTCCTGAATTGTAGAGAATGCAAAAGAACTGCCAGAGAAGTGGACTCTGCTAGGCCCTTCCTCCATGTGGCCCAACCAGGACAGAGAGACCTGATTACTGTAGCTTATCTTGAACAATCGTAATAATTTAGCTGAATTATAATCATCATTTGTCTGCCTTCATTATTTAGCATTATTTTGCCCGTTATTGCCATTAAAATAGCACAGCACCATCCTAGGACATTCCATTGCTAAACTGATTGCTGTAAATCTATTTGTACAAATGAAAACAGTCAAGTTTGCTTATGCTTCTTGATTTCCTACTCAGGCAAACAGTCATGCACTCTTCTCCTACCTGCCAAAATCTCTCCGTGTTCTTAGGACATGTGATACCAGCAAATCTAAATCTGGCTTATTTTTTTTCTTTTGATGGATGTGCTAACTGCACAGTGTTTCTCAACCTTGACAATTTTAAGGCACGTGGACTTCAACTCCCAGAATTCCACAGCCAGCAATGCTGGCTGTGGAATTCTGGGAGTTGAAGTCCACATGCCTTAAAATTGTCAAGGTTGAGAAACACTGTGCTAGCAGCTCTTGCACCCAGCTCTCCTCTATGACTATGCTTCTTGGGCCAACCTGGTTTGTTAGGCATAATGACTGAGACCCCTTCCCATGTACTTCAGTGCATTTTCAAAACAAAGTTGAAAAGTCACAGTAATTTTTAAAATCAGAAGCTTGACACCGGTTAAAATCAGAAAAGAACAAAATTAAAAGGAAATGTCAACCCATTTCTGTAGACAACCATAACATGCCTGCACTTTATTGATACTGGATATCTCCATTTGCTACAGATTTTAAGGAAAAACAGTTTGCTAATGGATAGACGACCACATGATTGTTCTCAGACAGCCAAATGTAAAAAAACAGATTAATAACTGCCAATAGTTTGTGCATGCTATCCACACTATTCTTTGCATGTTTACTTTGTTTTCAAAAATCCAGAATGTTCACTATTGAATGCTTCAGATAATCATCTACCTCCAAAAATGTTTATTCAAATGATACTTATGTTTACAGATTATTGAACATTCAGGAGAAAAAAATAGTTCTATTAATATTTACTGTAAATATAGTTTATGGTCAGGAAAGTGCTATTATTGTCGCTTATGTAAATTTGCTGAACAATATAAATATTGATGTAACTGGGATATATACGTGCAGATAGAGGAGCTTAACAGTTTTAGATCTGTAAAACATTTTCATGTTCAGAAGTCATCCCCAGAAAGCAGTTAATCAGGTGATCTTTATTTAGAAGTCCTATTGCAACATAAAAATAAGACAAAAATATTAATTATGAGACAAATTTTCCTGAAACAATACACAAAGAATTAATGAAATAGATTTTACCAATATTGTTTAGGTTGATAGCACATTACTCTTCATTCACATCTTCATCTTTCAGCTCATCTGCACAGAAATAAAACCATTCTTGGATTATTGAAAGGTCTTCAATATTCAACTTGAAAGAATAAATTTTGAACTCTCATCATTACCACCTCAATATTTTGTTAGGCTACACAATTCTATAATCACTTATTTTTATGATGTGCTGTGCATAGAATTTTATCTACATATGCATATTTGTACATGTGCTATGAGAGACCATAATAATGTTTACCTGCCTACCTTATTTAACCTCTGGCAGTCAATATTGACATTAGTAAGATCACTCCTTTTCTTATGACCTCTATACAATATTGCGGGAGCCAGAGGTACTTTGACTAATTTCATAATTTACATTGCAATGACCTCCATTCTTAATCTTTTTCCCAGGGAGGTTAATTGCAAATCTGTTCACACAATAAATTATTCTATTTGTTATCACTTAATAAAATTAAGATCACCTCAGATGGGGACTGCAGCCAAGAAATTAAAAGACGCTTGCTCCTGGGGCTTAGGAAAAGCTATGGCAAATCTAGACAGCATACTAAAAAGCAGAGACATCACCCTGCCAATAAAAGTGCGTATAGTCCAGGCCATGGTTTTCCCAGTTGCAATGTATGGCTGTGAAAGTTGGACCATAAGAAAGGCTGAGCGCCAAAGAATTGAGGCCTTTGAACTATGATGCTGGAGAAGACTCCTGCGAGTCCCTTGGACTGCAAGGCGTTCAAACCGGTCAGTCCTAGAAGAGATTAACCCTGACTGTTCTTTAGAAGGCCAGATCCTGAAATTGAAACTCAAATACTTTGGCCACCTAATGAGAAGGAAGGACTCACTGGAGAAGGGCCTAATGCTGGGAAAGATTAAGGCAATAGAAGAATGGGACAACAGAGAATGAGATAGCTGGATGGAGTCACTGAAGCAATAGGTGTGAACTTAAATGGACTCCAGAAGATGGTAGAGGACAGGAAGACCTGGAGGAACATTGTCCATGGGGTCGCGATGGGTCGGACACGACTTCGCAATTAACAACAACAACAACAAATAAAATTAAATATTATTAAGTAGGTATTTAAGGGTTATTACATACCATGCTGTAAATCTTACTTTAAAAAATATGCAAGACCCAGACAAAAATATTTAATTTTATTTAATTCAGTGAAAGCTAAAAACTCTCAGAGAGCCTAAAAATATTCTTAATCCTCCAAATAGATAAAGTTTCAATGGCTCAATCTGCTCCCGAGGAAGAGAAAAACTAGTTAAAATCAATCTTGTCCATTAGATCTACATTCAAGAGTGGAAAGAATGAGTCTTGCTGTTCACAGATAGAATTTCGATTTAATCCATAGATCTGAGTACCATAGAAATTGTTTGAAAGACCACTTTTTACATTTTTATCTACATCCAGGTTCAACAGAATAACTTTAAAGGTTGAACAATATATAGCAATTTTTAAAATTCTCTCCATAAGTATGACACTTTGTCACATTTTTTTAAACTACAGAATCTTTTAAACCAGAGATCCTCAACCTTTTGGGCACCAGGGACCAGCTCCATGGAGAAAGGTTTTTCCACAGACCAGGGAGTGTGTGGTTTTGTGTGCTGCCTGCATCCCACAGATAGGGCTTTGCTTATTTGTGCGGACAGGTTGCTGGCATGCCATAGCCCAGTACCGGTCCACAGACAGGGGGGTTGGGGACCCCTGTTTTAAGCTATAGAGTCATTGGGTATGGGTTAGGTGGTCACACAAATCTGTTTAATAAATAAAAAATAAAATCTCACCTCTTATCAATTCTGACATCTATTATTCATTTCTATGTAACTGGGATACAGTATTATTAATTCTGATGAAGAATTAAGGATACTTTTAGACAAGTTTGACATTTCAGCTAATAGAATATTGGTATCAAAAGGTTATCTGGGTTTGAACAAGGAGAAACAAATACAGACAACTCAAGAGAGACAGAATGGCTGCTAATACACATTGTCTTGGACTCCCACTGAAAAATAAAATGATATCCAAGATAATAAGTGTCCTTCAATGTTAAATAATGTATATCTATTTCTGAGCATGTGTTAACTATATTTGTTTACATCTATTCTTCATTATTATTCTTTTCCCATTCTTGCTATTAGTTTCAACTTTGGCTATTTTAGATTGCTAATTGCTCATGTACCAGACCTGCCTATTATAAGAAATTACCGTATATAATGTTCTAATCTGTGCAGTCTATGTTATCATCATTTGCAGCTGCTTATTAAAGTAAACAATATTAAAGATATCAACAGAATAGCCACTGAGCGAAAAGATCTGAACAAACAATTCTGGGCACTATTTCTGAGGCATAGGTAAATTTAAATAACATGGAAACATTATAATCTATGTGACACTGGGGGTAGCATTAGTAATCTATGCCTAGGGCATGAATGGATAACTCTAGACTTCATTTTGGTGCAGATAGAGACCAGTGTATTTATTAGGGCAAAGAGGCATAGTTAACATTAGTAGAACCAAGGAAGACATGGACTGAGCCAACTAAGTCTATTTTGTTATCCATGTACTTCCCTCCCTCCCTTCCCATCCCATGACACTTTTTTCCCATCTTCTACCCTTATACAATTCTTTTTTTCAACAACTGCATTGTTTCAGAGAAACCAACTTGTTCAGTGGCATTTAATCCATTAATTTTAATCACAAGCTTTGACAATGGAAACACAATGGACTAGTCACAATCCATTCATACTGACATTTAAAAAAAAGAAAGAAATGGTGAAAGAAGAGTATATTAATGAAGCAAAGGTTAACCATGATCTGATGGCTGAGAATCTCCATAGTCATTATATTCTAAACCTGTCATGAAATGTTAGCAAAATAAGAGGTGGAATTTAGTGAACACTAAATACAACCTAAGTTCTGCAAGGAAGGAAAGCAGCAATAGATAATGTAAGAAAGATATTGCTATTTACCTCTGAAGTGGATAAATGAGTATATTCTGATTTTTTATTTGATTTAAATTTCTTCATCCAGTACCAATGTTATTTAACTTCACAATATTACAAGCAAAACCAGATGTTGCAACAGATTCAGAGAGAGCATCTTATTTCAACCGCAACATTATTTATTGACCAGCAAGGAGCAGAAGAAATATTGTTGTGTGATAAAAGAATACACTTAAGCAAAGTTTAAGAATACTATTAAATATTAGTATTCAAATTAAATTCAGACTAATCTAATCTTCCAATTAATGCAATTGATGCAGATGAGAAGCCTGTATTTGAAGAGAAAAATGAAAAGCTTGGTAGCATTTTAAAATAATTTGTCATTATTTTAACAAAATGAAATTCAGTGGTGAAAAAAGTAAGGTTGTATATTTAGGCAAGAAAAACCAAATGCACAGGTATAGTATAGGTGGTATGTGGCTCAACAGTAGTAACTATGAGATGGATCTTGGACAATTACTTAAATATGAGCCAGCAGTGTGCTGCAGCTGCCAAAAAGGCCAACACAGTGCTAGGCTGCATTAACAGAGGGATAGAATCAAGATCACGTGACGACTTAATACCATTTTCTAATGCCTTGGTAAGGCCACACTTGGAATACTGCATCCAGTTTTGGTTGGAATGATGTAAAAAAGATGTTGAGACTCTAGACAGAGTACAGAGAAGAGCAACAAAGATGATCAGGAGACTGGAGGCTAAAACAGATAAAGAACGGTTGCTGGAATTGGGTATGTCAATTTAATGAAGAGAAGGACGAGGGGGGACATGATAGCAGTGTTTCAATATCTCAGCGATTGCCACAAAGAAGAGGGAGTCAAGCTATTCTCCAAAGCGCCTGAAGGCAAGACAAGAAGCAATGGATGGAAAGTAACCAAAGAAAGAAGCAACCTAGAACTAAGGAGAAATTTCCTGACTGTTAGAACAATTAATCAGTGGATCAACTTGCCTTCAGAAGTTGTGAATGCTCCAACACTGGAAGTTTTTAAGAAGAGATTGGACAACCATATGTCTGAAATGGTATAGGGTTTCCTGCCTGAGCAGGGGGCTGGACTAGAAGACCTCCAAAGTCCCTTCCAACTCTGTTATTTTGGTATTCATATCTTTATGTAGGTTGAAATTTAAGAATTCTGTGTCACAGCAGTATTGTTTTGGTTATATAATTAAGAAAGATTGCTAGACAATTTTGGTTTGTAACAGGAAATATATCTATCAAGATACCATTGCCAAGTAAAGGTAACAGTTACACATTCTCTTCTCTATGATTTTGAGCTTTTATATTATAAATATTATCAGCTGATATTTTTGAATTTTTTGTACAATTTATCAAAATGAAAAAGAAAGGAGCATACTTGCCTATTAAATCATGACATATGCCTATCCCACCTTACCACTAACTGACAAAAATGTTACTTTTGGTACTTTTTAAATAGAGAACTAGTATTGTTTCTATTTATGTCAGTTAAAAAATGTCAGAAAGCATTTTGAAATGTTCTGTTATTCTCTGCTGTTTGTGCTTTTGCGCCCCACCAGCATAACCATCAAACATTAGTGCATATGTTTGATGAAATCCTGCTTGAGTCGTTTGGGCTTTTAAAATCATAATCAAATGCTTCGTCTAAAAGTTTATTAGCAGCCTCACCTCCACTGGTTTTTAGTGGTATGCTAGGAATGCTGCCATCTGTGGAAAGCTCATTGTTCACGCTGACACAATAAAAAGATTCATCAAAAAAAGAAGGCTTTTTCATCTTGTCTGTACTGAGAACCTTTGACATGGAGACATCTTCAGAGCTATTAGCAGTGTCTGCTGCCTCCTCTTGGTCTTCTTCATTTCCCTTTTTCTCTGACATGGGAAATTCAAACAATGTCTTGCTGGGATTGCAGCAGGAGTCTATATTTTCCTTTGAAAATATGTCTTTATACTCATCTCCAAGCATTTCCTCGTTTGCTGGTAGTTGAATATCATCTGACACGTCACTCCTAGAGTCTGACATGTCCTCTTCCAAGGTGTTACAAGGGCTCCTCCTCTCCACCGAATTTTCCTGACATTTGGTCAGATTAAGATCGCATCCTCTTCTTAGGCTTTGTATACAGTCTTCCAGAAGGGCATTAAGTTGCTCTTCTGTGAGGCAAGGGGGTACATCTGGCTGCGAAAATAAGGGAAAAGTTCCCCCCATCAAAATGAAGCTACAAATAATTTCATCATAAAATAGCACAGAAAAATAATGGTAGCATTGATTCCTGATGCTAAAGGTCATAAATTAAAATCCGAAAGAAATGAAAATGGCCAGATAATGAACCAAGGCTTTTTCAGTGTGATCTGTTATTAGAAACACACTTGTCACCTTTGAATTTTTTTTAACAATCTACCCATTCATTGCTAGAACAGTGAAATGATGTGCTCCTGAGAAACACCACACAAGATATCCTATTGACAATATGAGATCCCATTATTAATTTAGATTTAATTCTTTTTTTCACTGAACTACAATATAATTCAAATGAATGCTACCTTAAGGCTAATGTATATTTTAAGAAGGATTCAAATATTAATTCCTAATAGATATTTTATGGGGGGGGGGCAACGGTTCAGTGGTTAAAGACCCTGAGCTACCGAACACCACAGAATTGGGTGAGCTTCTGTTCCTTGCCCCAGCTCCTGCCTATCTAGCAGATTGAAAGTATTCAAATGAGTAGATTAATAGGTACCACTTTGGTGGGAAGGTAACAGCATTCTGTGTGACTTTGGTGCATAGTCATGCTGGCCACATGACCACGGAAAATGTCCTTGGACAATGCTGGCTCCCTCAGCTAAGAAACTGAACTGAGCACCACGTCCTAGAATCAGGTACAAATGGACAGGGAAACCTTTATCTTTACCTTTAGCTGTTTGTACAAATGTTCATGGCAAGCTAAAATCCCTAAATAACTTTGTTCATATTTAGACTGCTTTATGATAGTGGCTTTAATCTATCAGATTTTTAACTCTAACCATTATGCTTATATTCTAACACCTATATTTCTATGGACTGAAAACTTGTCTAAATATTATCTTCCAATAGCTCTCTTATTGGATCCAACATCCATGTATTTGAAAAATTGGAAACTTTGAGCACCAAGATTAAGTAAAAGGGGATGTTCTTTTTCCAGCTTGAAAGCTGTTGGACCAGTGGTTCTCAACCTTTTTAATGCCGCGACCCCCAACTGGTCGTAAGTCGAGTACTAAACCGGTCGTAAGTCAAGGACTAACCCAGTCGTAAGTCGAGGACTATCCAACTGGTCGTAAGTCGAAGACTTTCCCTGCCCGGGAGCACCGCGCATGCGTGGTGCCGCCCCCTGCGCCAGCCAAGGCACAGCTGGCAAGCGGCAGAGACGGAGCAGACCGACCACCGGCTGGGCCACCAGCTGGCCCAGCCCAAGGGAGGTAAGGCACCCGCCAGAAAAGGGGAAAAAATGATGGACAGCCTTGCTTGGCGACCCCCGTGAAATGGTAGATCAACCCCAAATGGGGTCATGACCCATAGGTTGAGAACCACTATGAGACATATTAGTTATTAATAGGTAAGCAGTTTGGTCCCAAAATTACAGAAGAAATTGAAGCTGTGGTATAATCCAAATGTGAAGATAGCAGCAAAAATAGTTAATTGGAAAGCCTGGGTCAAACATGGGAAAAATACTTTAAATTAGTTGATGTATAATGGTTGTTTTAAAAATTTTGAGATATTATATCCTGCCTATGATGTACCTATATCCCCTGCTGGGCAATCTATATAAATGAAAATGAATGTACACGATATGATCCATATGCCTTGGCAACATTTATTATACTGCAAGATCCAGTGCTGGAAATGAAACCAACCATTCAGTTTTACTTGCAATTAAAGAAACAAGATGAAGGTTAGCATTATCTATCAGAAGTGTAAAATGAAGAATTGAACTATCCAATTTTGGAAAACCAATGTATTATCAATGAGAATATATTTGAGTATGTTTTTCATTTGGATATCACTTCTGGATTTTGTACTTGTGATGAAAAAAAAATGAAACCTTGACTTTAGTTTTGTCGATTAGATAGATTTGTCATTATAGAAATGGCTAGTTATATATTAATGTGTAAAAGCAAAAAGTTGAGGCTGGAGTGTTTTTATCTTGTACTGTCAGAAGTCGATGCTTTTTTTTCCTTTTTTCCTCCCTTATACCTGACACTTCTCTTTCCTCTTCCTTTCCTTCCTTTAATCACCTATTTCTTTGTATGTTATATATTAAATAAAATTAAAATAGATTTAAGAATGAAGCTAATTTATCAGCAAATACTGCTTTGTGTTTATTCTTACAAGATATACATAGCTGACTTTGTACATGATAACAACTGCTAGGATCCCCCATGCTTCTCATTGGAAATTATGAACAATCTCTTCTGCAGAAGAATGGCAAATTAAGTTATGGCAACATACATCAATATTAAAACTTACCTCATACTCTCAAAACATACCTGATCTAGAATTTAACTATGGATTAAATATGGAAACAATTTTTCCACTACAATCTTTGTTGAAGATTAATTACCACATCCGTTACCACATCTTAGTCACTACATTTGAACTTTGAGTTTTCCTGACCTTATGTTCAGCTTTTTAAACTTGCAAAATTTTCTAGATTAGTCAGAAATTATTGTAATTCTTTTACTTTAATATTGCTCACAGTTGTTAACAAAAACCTAATTCTAACACTGCCTAAATTTAATACCAGTTTAAATCTTCAAATTAATATATAAGGCATTTCAATATGCATATTTAAATTATTGTTAAATTATTGTTATTTCAAAATTTTACAGCAAACTCGCATGTTAAATTATATTCCCAAAAGGCAGAATTTGTCATTTTATGAGCCATTCGGCTTTATCAAATGTGGTACTCAGCAGAATACCCTTACACAAATAAAAAAGGAAAAAAACCTTACCCTCTTGATTTTAAGGAATCGATTTCAGATATTTGTTATCTATTTTTAAATATTTTTATAGTCCAAAAACTAGAAGGTGGGGCAACTCTATATGGTCTAGATTTAGTGATAAGATGAAAGATGAATAAATCCCAAATTGATATTATATGGATTTTATATATTAACATAGTTTCTTTTCCTGTTCATTTTATTTAATAACTATGCAGTTTGTATCATACTGAATAATCAGTAGTGCATTTTGTTATAGTTTGTTATAATGATAAAAAGAAAAACCCTGACAATGGCTCACTGAATCACATTTTATAGACTGTACAGAAAACAATATATAATGGTACTTCTGTAAAATATAAACTATCAGATCAACTTATCTAAACATATAAAGGAATCAGGAGACTATTATCACTTAACTAGAGATTACTACAACTAGTTTCAATAGTTACAGATTTTTTTAAAAAAAATATGTCTCCAATTATTATATTTTTTAAATTTCTTCATGTACCGGTAATCTGAAAGATTCCTTTTGTATAATCTCCAAAGATCCTTAGTGCAGCTTTGGGTCCAGAACAAAATGTATGTAGCAGGACTGTGAGTTCTGCTTCTCACAAATGCTAATCTGAACCCAATTCATTGTAAGGGAGCTATATAGTAAACTGTCTGCATTGAGTGGTATTAAGAGTAGTTTAGGACAAAAGTACAATTTTATTAATAAGGAGAAATGCTAGAAATGTAAAAAAAAAAAAACCAAAAGTACAATTTTATTAATAAGGAGAAATGCTAGAAATGTAAAAAAAAAAAAAACAGTTCAGTTCTGCCACCCTTTCAGATGGCTACTCAAAAAATGATTAAGCCCACTGTAAGTGTTTTGATTGACCTTCTATTCAGTTAAACATTTCTATCCAAAAACTTTATTTATATTGAAAGTAGCTACCACATTTTTCTAAACAAAGAATCAAAATACAGATACAAAATATATGAAATGAATGGCATGTCTTAATTAAAAATCAAAGTATATAACTAAAATGTTTACATAATAAATGTTAACAATTAAAATAAAACATGTTAACAGTTCAGAATCAACTAAATCAATTACACATATAAATCAGTTAAAAATTCAATATGTAGTATAGCAACACTGAAAAATTAGATGAAGGTGATGGCTACTAAATTCCTGATTTACTGATTTCCCCAAGTAAGCTATTTCCTCATTTAATCACCAAACACACAAAGTCTTGTTTGCGATGGCCAGGCATTATCTATAAGATATTCCATTTATACTCCTGAGAAATTTCATGTTCCACTTATCTAATTAGCACATTGAGTGTTTTAGGTTTATAACCAATTCTTTCAGTAAATCAATATTGGATTCAATTCAGCCAATCATTTCAATTCATTCAATCAACCTTGGTTCAGTAGGAAATATTTATATCTATACTGAACGACAACATGAAAATCAATGGAGCTTAAAGGTTTTGGCTGGTGGGATCTTGAAACTACATGGTCATGGTTGGATAAATTTGATGAGATGCTATAAAGGCAATATATTAGGCTGTGTTAGGATGGAGGAGCTAAAAATGGTTTCAAGAATAGATTGGGAATGAGAGTTATAGTGAATGATATTATATGAATTAGATTTCACTATATTTCCTTTAGCTTTGTTTTTCATGTCTTTATTTGGTTTATGTTTTTTTGTTTCTTTTCTGAACTTTACATATTATATTTATCTTGAAAGAAATTAATGTGAGGATTTGTAAGGACATTCAATTACTAACCATTCAGGAGAATGTTAATGTTTTGTTGTACAAAATCAAAATGAGTTTAGATTTTGCATGTAATTTTCTCTTTTTTTTCTGTATCCAGGAACAATTGCTTATTCAGTAGATGTAACATTAAAATCACTCTTACAATTTTCTCTAAGGGGAAGTTCCTTAGAGAAGGGGGTTCCTTTCTTCTCATGTTTCTTGTTGGCCTCCTTATACAAATAGTTCTTGACAAGAAGTAAATCATCTGAGACAATCAGCACATGGTCTGACATTTGGAGAAATAATTAAAAGATTGGATTACATCTATGAACCCATCTAGTTTTCTGCTTAAAGACTTGGTAGTCATACTGTACATAATTATACTAAAATTATTAAGCCTGTAAAATACCAGAGGAGACATCTATGTTCAATGGAACCCAACAAAACTC